CAGATGGTCCTTGAAGAAATTCGTGATTGTGACGTCATCAGGTGTCACGTTACTTCACATTAAAGATGCACATTTTCCCCATATGTTTTGTTCACGTTTTAAAACACTCCACCTTGGCACCTTCATAAATGCGATCGACCTCAGACTTAATACATACTTAGACCACCACCCACAGATGGTCCAAGAAGAAATGTGTGATCGTGGCGTCATCAGGTGTTGGGTTACGTCACATTAAAGATGCATTTTTCCCATAGGGTTTGTACACGTTTTAAAGCACTCTACATTTGCACTTTTGTAAATTATGCGATCGACGTTAGAGCTGGTACACACTTAGACTATACCACCCACAGATGGTCCTAGAAGAAATTCGTGATCGTACCAATGCCGAGATAGGTTATAGATGAAAATTCATGTGATGCCATCATCAAATGTCATGTGACGTCCCTTAAAGGGGCATTTTGTTCTTTATAGGCCTATAGTTACAGACCTATATGTTCGATTTGGTTATAACTTGACATGTACGTATAATGTGCTGTTAAAGATGACATTTTTAGTGACGTCACTGATTGTTCATCACTTGCATAGAGTATATCGAATATCCGAAACAGCTTGTGTTTGTCCACAAACACATCTCTAGTTTTTTTTTTTTCTCCTTTTTCAGACTTTTTCTCCATAGGTTTAACACACGTTTCTTCCACCAGTCCACTTTGCCACTATTTTAAATCAGATTGATTTGAGACTTGGTACATACTTAGAACACCACCCACAGATGGTCCTAGAAGAAATTTGTGATCGTGACGTCATCAGGTGTCAGGTTACGTCACACTAAAGATGCATTTTTCCCCATATGTTTTGTACACGTTTTAAAACACTCCAGTTTGGCATCTTCGTAAATCCGATCGACGTTACACTTGGTATACACTTAGACCAATACCCACAGATGGTCCTTGAAGAAATTCGTGATTGTGACGTCATCAGGTGTCACGTTACTTCACATTAAAGATGCACATTTTCCCCATATGTTTTGTTCACGTTTTAAAACACTCCACCTTGGCACCTTCATAAATGCGATCGACCTCAGACTTAATACATACTTAGACCACCACCCACAGATGGTCCAAGAAGAAATGTGTGATCGTGGCGTCATCAGGTGTTGGGTTACGTCACATTAAAGATGCATTTTTCCCATAGGGTTTGTACACGTTTTAAAGCACTCTACATTTGCACTTTTGTAAATTATGCGATCGACGTTAGAGCTGGTACACACTTAGACTATACCACCCACAGATGGTCCTAGAAGAAATTCGTGATCGTACCAATGCCGAGATAGGTTATAGATGAAAATTCATGTGATGCCATCATCAAATGTCATGTGACGTCCCTTAAAGGGGCATTTTGTTCTTTATAGGCCTATAGTTACAGACCTATATGTTCGATTTGGTTATAACTTGACATGTACGTATAATGTGCTGTTAAAGATGACATTTTTAGTGACGTCACTGATTGTTCATCACTTGCATAGAGTATATCGAATATCCGAAACAGCTTGTGTTTGTCCACAAACACATCTCTAGTTTTTTTTTTTCTCCTTTTTCAGACTTTTTCTCCATAGGTTTAACACACGTTTCTTCCACCAGTCCACTTTGCCACTATTTTAAATCAGATTGATTTGAGACTTGGTACATACTTAGAACACCACCCACAGATGGTCCTAGAAGAAATTTGTGATCGTGACGTCATCAGGTGTCAGGTTACGTCACACTAAAGATGCATTTTTCCCCATATGTTTTGTACACGTTTTAAAACACTCCAGTTTGGCATCTTCGTAAATCCGATCGACTTTAAACTTAATTCATACTTAGACCACCACCCACAGATGGTTCTAGACGAAATTCGTGATCGTGACGTCATCAAGTGTCAGGTTACGTCACATTAAAGATGCATTTTTCCCCATAGGGTTTGTACATGTGTTAAAACGCTCCATTTCGGCACTTTTGTAAATCCGATCGACGTTACACTTGGTATACACTTAGACCAATACCCACAGATGGTCCTTGAAGAAATTCGTGATTGTGACGTCATCAGGTGTCACGTTACATTACATTAAAGATGCACATTTTCCCCATATGTTTTGTTCACGTTTTAAAACACTCCACCTTGGCACCTTCATAAATGCGATCGACCTCAGACTTAATACATACTTAGACCACCACCCACAGATGGTCCAAGAAGAAATGTGTGATCGTGACGTCATCAGGTGTTGGGTTACGTCACATTAAAGATGCATTTTTCCCCATGTGTTTTGTACACGTTTTAAAACACTCCATTCTGGCCTCTTCGTAAATCAGATCGACCTCAGCCTTGATACATACTTAGACCACCACCCACAGATGGTCCTAGAAGAAATTCGGGACCGTGACGTCATCAGGTGTCGGGTTACGTCACATTAAAGATGCATTTTTCCCCATATGTTTTGTACACGTTTTGGCATCTTCGTAAATCCGATCGACTTTAAACTTAATTCATACTTAGACCACCACCCACAGATGGTCCTAGACAAAATTCGTGATCTTGACATCATCAAGTGTCAGGTTACTTCACATTAAAGATGCATTTTCCCCTTAGGGTTTGTACACGTTTTAAAACGCTCCATTTCGGCACTTTCGTAACTCTGATCGAAGTTACACTTGGTACACACTTAGACCATCACCCACAGATGGTCCTTGAAGAAATTCGTGATTGTGACGTTATCAGGTGTCACGTTACTTCACATTAAAGATGCACATTTTCCCCATAGGTTTTGTACACATTTTAAAACGCTCCACTTTAGCACTTTCGTAAATTTGATCGACTTTATACTTGGTACACACTTAGACCACTACCCATAGATGGTCCTAGAATAGTTTCGTGATCGTAACATCATCAGGTGTAAGGTTACTTCACATTAAAGATGCATTTTCCCCATAGGTTTTGTACACGTATTTCTTCAAATCATACTTTGGCACTATATGTCTGATTGATTTTGCACTTGGCAGATGACATTCGAAGTGACTTCATCAAGTGTTCATCACGTGCACAGAGTATTTCAAATATCCGAAACAGCTTGTGTTTGTCCACAAACACATTTCTATTTTTTTTCTTCTTTTTCAGACTTTTTCTCCATAGGTTAAACACACGTTTCTTCCACCAATCCACTTTGCCACTTTTTTAAATCCGACCGATTTCAGACTTGGTACATACTTAGACCACTACCCACAGATGGTCCTAGAGGAAATTCGTGACCGTGACGTCATCAGGTGTCGGGTTACGTCACATTAAAGATTCATTTTTCCCCATATGTTTTGTACACGTTTTAAAACACTCCACGTTGGCCTCTTAGTAAATCCGATCGACCTCCGACTTGATACATACTTAGACCATCACCCACAGATGTTCCTCGAAGAAATTCGTCATCGTGATGTCATTAGGTGTCAGGTAACTTCACATTAAAGATGCATTTCCCCCATAGGGTTTGTACACGTTTTAAAACACTCCACTTTGGCACTTTCGTAAATTCGATGTACTTAAGACTTGTCACACACTTAGACCATCACCCACAGCTGGTCCTAGAAGAAATTTGTGATCAAGACGTCATCAGGTGTTGGGTTACGTCACATTAAAGATGCATTTTTCCTCATAGGGTTTGTACACGTTTTAAAACATTCTACTTTGGCACTTTTGTAAATCCGATCAACGTTAGACTTCGTACACACTTAGACTACCACCCACAGATGGTCCTAGAGGAAATTCGTGATCGTGTCATCGTCAGGTGTAAGGTTACTTCACATTTTTATATCTTACTGGTATTACCTATCTTACTGGTATTAATTTTCTTTTCTTTTTTGAGACATTTTTATTGATTTTGTTATCTTGTTATTTACCAGATTTCTTTTTTATTGATGGATGTATTCTCTAAAGGAGTATGGAATAAATGTTTTCTTGAATTGAATTGAATTGAATTGAATTGAATACATCTTCTCATTCGTTTTCCACCTTGCTATAAACAAGTTTAGTCGTCACGTTTCATTGAATCGTGAAGGTAGATAGAGCTAGCTGGCAAGTTTTATTTCGTCTCGTGCGCACGAGGTCAAGAGAATTAAGCAAGGGCCAAACTATGCGCAAGCAGGCAAAATGTAGGCCTATCGAGGCTGATTTATTGCACCTTTAGGGCAATGTCAGACTGTCTTCGATCATGTATGTGCTCTCACTGCGTCCTTGGAAAATGGCTGGTGTGCAACAACAACTACACGATCGCAACGAAAACTACATAGGTCGCCTGATGGGTGCCGGAGGGTCTTAATGGTCTCCGATGAGCGCCAAAGTTTTCGAACATGCTCAAAACAATTGCAACACCTCTGCGCTCTGGCCAGGACGCCGTAATGACGCATCTCGGGCGCTGTGCGAGCGTGAATCGTGCAACCTTGACCTGGCATTGACGCAGCTTTGGCGCAAAGCAGAAAGTAACTCGACTACGATAAACTTGTCCAATACATTTGAAACTGGACTGCGGACTGACCGTTTTGTCGTGGTATTTATACAGCGCAAGTGACGTCACGTGAGCGTATTTTGGTTGGATAGAGAGCGCAACGTGAGCTACTAGTACGTATCAACAGCGAGCAGAGCGTAGTGTGAGCGCAGTGACAGCGCAGCGGCAGCGACTAGATCGAGTAATTGGGCTTGACAGAAGCGCATAGAGAGCGAGTTGAGCGCATCGTAAGCGCAGGATGAGCGCAGCATGAGCGCAGTGACAGCGCAGCGGCAGCGACTAGCGTAGCTTGAGCTGCTTTCTGGCCACTTGAGATCAAAATATTTTTGGTCGCCGTAAGGTCTCCTATGAGATCGCATAGTATTTAACATGCCCTTTAAGGGACGCGGGTTCCTATGATTGCAATACAACGCCCACATGTGGTCAATGTGCAGTCTTGCACTCTATAACAAACGTTTCCTTCATATTCGTTCAGTGAGAGTACTTCTTCCTAATTACTACCAAGATGCCGCAAAAGACAGTTCAGCATTTGGATGCATACATTAAGGCAACAGCCGTCGTGTACAATCACTCCAACACCAAACTCATCAGCAGGAAGACTAAAGTCAAACCAAGGAGGAAACAAGCTTTCCTGTCTGGACTGCATTTCAGAAAAACGTCTTCTGATGATTACTATGCAAAGAGGAGACCATTGAAACGATGGATTCGACGAGAATCGAGAGGCACTCACCAAAGTCAGAGGTAAACAGCAATGGCATTTACACAGTCATACATTGAAACAAATGGAAGCTTTATGAGAATTGTAACTTTATTTTGAAGGATTTGTTTGATGTTTGATTCTTTCCAAATATTTGTTTAAAAGCTTTTAAAAATTGTACAATTAAATGCAACACCTTTATTAGAATAATGTCAGTGACAATTGTAGTTTCAAAATTAATTCTTCGTTGATCTCGTTCTATTGTCTAATGATTTATTTCTAAAACTACACAGTGTTTTCCCCATATTTTCACAGTAATACCGAAGACGTAAAACAGAAACTGCATCTCTTTGTCCGGACTTCCCTTTCAAAAAAACCCAAGACACTTTACTTTGAACTCCATCCCGAGACATTGGCCTCATCTCTTAAGGAAACAATCCAGAAGAGAATCGGTGTTGAGGCACGATATCAGCGTCTGTACATCAGGAGAAACTTCCAGGTAGGTATACTTTAATATCAATACAGATAATTCCGATTTTCCAAATGGTAATATAAAACGTAAAAACGTAATATAAAACGTAAAATCGCACATTTTCATCTTTTAATCATTTTTTTTTAATTGATGATTCACACACGGTAAATACACAAACACACTAAAATACTAAAGGTTAAACGAACATAATTTCAATTCACAAATAACGAAAATCCACTGTGTTTCCCTATGATCGCTTAACTTATTTTCAAACATTATTCACTTTGGTAGCTGTGTGACCTACTCACACTTGAGGAAAATGGTGTCGGCAAGGATGAAATCATCTCTCTCCATCTTTCAGTAGATGGCCCAAATGATGACAGTGTAGCAAAAGGTAAACTACAAAATGTGGGAATAGAATTTTCATGTAAATAAACTGTATCTTTATTTGATATATTAACCCTAAAAGGGCCGGGGGGCGGAATCCGCCCCCCCCCCTCAACATTTTCCGTGATAGCCTCTAAAAAAAATTTTTTCACAACCCGAGCTGTTATGACTTTTTAGCCTCGAGCTTTGCGCATCTTTTGATACCAAAAACATAAAAATCGGACCACGGGTTGCCGCGTAGCGAAAAATTTTCCGCCGCTACGCGCCGTGAAAACTGAATTTTCGCATATACGTCGTGTACACAGAGCAGAATTGCCATTCGTACATATGAATAATTAATTAGCCATAATTACAAAACCCTTTGACCTATAGTCATGAAATTTCTTGGGTATGTCAAGGAAGAGTTGCTCTATGCATGTATTGAGTTTCAAAATTTTTCGTCACTCGATGGCCGAGATCTTAGGGGGGGGGGCGAATCCGCCCCCCCCCCGGCTGAGAGATGGTCAAAATAACCCGGCCCTTTTAGGGTTAATACAGAAGAAAGGTGATTTTTTTGTTTTAGCTTTAGGCAATAATATAATGTATTTACGTTGGTAACTTACACGGTGGTAAACTCATTTGAGAATGTGTCACTAAAGTTACCCATTATGTTGATAGACAAAGCCAACATTGAAGATGAGTACCTCAAGGACTTGTCGTCGAAAAGTGAATTATCATGGAAGGAACTAGCTGAACATCTAGGATATGCAGAAGCGGAAATTGCAGACATCCAATCCAGCAACGAAGGCAGCAATGAAGCTGGCCGTCACATGCTACTCACTTGGTGGGAAAAGACGGCAGATCGCGACGAAGCAGCTCAGAAGCTGAGACGAGCATTGGAGGCCATTGGGTTGACTGATTTGGCCCAAAATGTACCAGGTACGCTAGAAGTGAGGACCAATTATTTAAATCACACCTCACGCATTTGACAGCAAATAGACCATTAAAAAACCTGCTACTTTAAAAACAAAATTATAAATGATGTGATGCACTCTGTTTTCCTGCTTGTATTAGTAACGAATGAATCAAGAGACGAAGCAGCTAGACCCGTGCCAGACAGGCGTCATGATTCAGGAGTTGACGAGGAGAACAAAGAAAGCAAGGTGACATCAACCAAGGAAAAGACACAGAAAAGGTAAGACATTTTTGATCTAGACAAACCTCGACAAACCTCTAGACAAACCTCTAGACAAACTATTTGTACTGCACATTGTGTTGGAAAAAATACCTAGACATTACCTTTTGTTGTGTAGATAACTTAACTTTATTTTGGAAAACAATGTTTTCTCACTTCAACAATGGTGTGCAAATGGTTACAGTAATAGTCCATGATCTTTACCTTCATTACTATACTCTAATTGCCAATACAACCTATTAATAGTGCCTTAATAAGCAATACATTTTTTTTCTGACAGTTTCAGTTATGTGCAAGTCTTCATCCGGTGTAACCTGACACAAAAGCCCAGAACGCTTTGTTTCCAATTGGATCCAGAGACATCTGTCTGGTGCTTAAAACAGATATTAAACGAGATCATCAGTGTCCATCCTCAACAACAACGATTGTTCATCCGAAGAAACTCTCGCAACTTTGAGGTAAAAATGCCTCCACATTTTTCAACATTGCCATGTTGTAAAGTATCAATCAATATTTCAATTTAAAAGAGGCCGTGGATCAGAAGCAGCACTATCATTTGCGTACAGACGTTGCTCTGTTATCGGTACAATTATGTTGTTGCACTAAAGTTCAGGAAACAATAAATAAATGATTACTGGGGGAAATGGTTGCTTTGAACCAACCAATTTAATAGTCTAAATTAAAAAAATATCACCACTGAAAAAAAATTCCTTAATTATGTTTTAATCCTAACCACCAGACTTTCGTCTATAAAAAAAAAAACCTCCGTTTAAGAGAGTATTTTGTGAAGATCTTAAATTTAAACAAAATGATTTGTTTCAGCTTTGTAACTTGCTGACACTTTATGACTATGGAATACAACATGACGAGAATATCTCACTCCGCCTGTGTACTGATGGCCTACTGGGCGGTGGACCAAAAGGTAAAGTAAAATAATATATCTTGCGATGCCACATCCGCCTATCAAACTATATTCATGCTTGAGCACATACGTATTTGTGTCGCCTGGACGAAGTTTTGGGAGACACTAACTAGTCCTAAGTTCTGTATGACCCTACGGTCACACAGAATTTAGGACTCTATGTACGATAGAGTGTAAGTTAAGTTTGATTTGGATGAAACTTGGATGCAGTGACACTTGGGTGGGAAGACACAATTCTCCATCGGATTACTGAGGTCAAAGGTCATGTATTGGTCATTAGAGGTCATTGTTTATATATATTTCAAACTTTTATTGTCAACTAAATTTGATGGATTTTAATGTTACTTGGATGGAGTGATGTTCTGTTTGACATTTGGCGTGTGGGGTCCGAAAGTGACTAACAATCATAAGAACAACCCACGTAGCTGCCCATACATGTACTAACAGTCTCAACTTGATGCCAAGTTGTTCATGAGTGCATGTGTATGCTCAAAACAATATATCTATGTTTTAATCATTACAACCTTGACATTTTGCCTTAAGGCGTCCAACAGGTGACAGGTTTCAGGAAGATCCCCTGATTAACAAAAATACCAAGTTTTAGATTAATATAACGCCGCAAGTTGTACGTACAGAGTCTTAGTTCTTCACTCTTCTCATGTTATAACAGATGCTTCGTCATCTTTGTTTTCACATTATTGAAACTTCCTGGCTAGACTGACCTGTTATCCGGGTTCTAATTTGACTGACCATTTTCTGGAAATACAATGCCGTTTTGCCAGGTAGTCATTTTCACCCAGAAAGTGTCGGATTTTTACCCGAGAAATATGTCTAGTGTAAGCTACATTGTATTTCGGACTCTTCCCACGCATTTATGAATACAGTTTGGAGTAATATCCTTGTTGTTCTTGTAGCGGAAATATCAGAGCTGACTCTCTCCGATGTTGTTCGGAGGCTTGGTCACGATTGGAAGGAACTTGCAACACATCTTGGCTTCACATCCGCAGACATCTCAACCTTCGAGGCTGACAACCCAGGCAAAGTCTACTATCAGAAATTCCAGATGCTCGTAGCATGGCGACAAAGGCAGCCCACCATTGGAGGTCAGATGGACGTGTTGTGTGCAGCATTGACCAGGATCGACAGAACTGACATCGTCACGTTCCTTCAAGGTAAGTCTGATTAAGTGTTGTAACCATCAATGCGCAATGTTTTAATGAACCATACGTGTTGCATGATAAACAGAAGTGATTGAAAAATTTTAATTAAATTTCCATATGACTACTAAATGTACATATAACTGGTACATAAATTATGTTTTCCAACACAAAATGACAGTCAAGTGTGTAACTACATCAAACGCAGAAATCTGTATTTAGCGATTTTCAAATCCAGTCCATCGTGCGGTTCGTGCACTTTGCTTTTCGTTTATTGCAATCAAGTTCACATAGTATGAAACCTCAAGCTGTATGTACACAATGTTAATCACTGTTCACGCAACCAAACCCCCAAAAATTATATTTTATATTAAAAGAAAATATATATAGCGCCACAAATAATAATGACTGGAAAGCCAATTGCATAAACTATTTCGAAATAAAGAAAAAACTGAAATTGCTTAATCCGTTCAAAGAATATATCACCTTTGAAACACAATGACCCTAGAACCTCTTTCGTCCAAAAATGCGATTTTAAGAATCGTCGCAACAATTCATCACCGGTTTCACGAAGGGACGGGCATGTCAATTTCATTTTTTTCGATTTCGATTTTTTTCACTATTTTGCTTCCGCAATTTCAGACTTATGAGGCGTCGGATTTATGAAGCATAAAGTTGTTTTATTTCGACCAGGTCTGACACCTCATAAGTCCGAAGCTTCATAATTCCGACATCGGCAAAACGAGGTGTTAAATTTGTCGGACCTACGATGTGTCGGAGCTATGAGGCGTCGGACCAAGGAGGCGTCGGACTTATGAGGCGTCGGACCTGTGAGGCGTCGGACTTATGTGGTGGCCTGACCAGGCTGGGAGGGGGGCATTGGAAGATTGCAACATCATGACGATCTTAAAGCGAAATCGGGAAAGCTGATATAGAAGCGAAATCGGGACGGTAAAATTTGCAACGAGCAATAAACAAAACCACTGCTACTCACAGGCTAACGAGATGGGTAAACCGTACGAACAATTTTTAAAAAAAATCTAATTAACTCCTCAAGTTTATTTCATGAGCTCTACCCATTACTTTGTTCAACGATGTGAGATTCTTGTGCCTTCTTGAAGATTTTGAGATGCTGGATACTCCACTAGAGGAGTGCACAATAACAGAAATGTATTTGTTCTATTTTTTGGTGAAGGGCTGGGGGAGGGGCGTGAATCCCCCCAGTATCGTACAGTACAAAAGTGTATCTGATAACGGCGTATGTAATGTCCTGAGGAGGGACAATGGGGAAAATAATGTTCTCGGTGTTGTCCCTTAAAATTAAAGAAAAAAGCACTTAAACAACTGGATGCAAGGTGTTTTTTTTTAGCAACGCGCAACAGCATTTTAAGACGGGAAATAAATACCAGAAATAAAATGGACCAAACTTCGAAATGAACATGCAGCTTGATTACCCATTTTGAATTTTGTTGGAGAAATAACTACTACAGGTCAAAAATATTACTTTTACGGACATAACAATTTATCTGTCCATGTAAACCTACAAAAAATAAAGGTGCGCATGACGCAACTTTTGCCCCACGAGCTGAAAAATGGCGCCGCCCATGGAAGAACGCGCGTCTGTACGCACTGCCGATTTAGTCTGTTTTATTCCAATGGGGAAAATACGTTGAAAAAGAAGGGCGTTATTAATTAATGTGGAAATGTGACATTTTCCTTTTCACGAAAGGACTGGCATCTTAACTAAATAATGTTGGCTTTTTAACCACTATACTGGGTTCAAATCAACGTTTACCTATCAAAGAATTACGTCAAGGTTTTCTCATTGCATACCGTTGTTGCAAAGTAGTAGTTTTTGCAGTTTTATAAACGGAAAAACTTCTCTTGCGATTATCTCATAAACGGTTTTTCTTCAAAGTTAAAAATCTTTTCTTTAAAAGTAAAAAACAAAACAAAATTAAACAAAGTTTTTTTGGAGGCCCGTCTTAAAAAAACGGATTAATAAATCATATTGTTTGCCTAGCCAGGGTTGTTAATGAAGATATTGTGTACTACAATTTACTAGGACGTCATAAGAAATCAAGGCAGCCCGTTGGCACTCAGCCTGCTGATGATGCTGGTACTTCCACCAGGCCGTCTACTAGCCATGGCGTTGGCGTATCAGACGACACCTCAAGTTGTACGTACCGAGCAGTAACTCTTCACTTTTACTCATATATTTTGTCCTATTTGTTTTCACAATCTTAAATCTTCCTAGTTAGACTGACCCGTAGTCCGTCCCAATTGGCGTAACACTTTTCCGGGTCAAAAAAGACACTTTTCCAGTTCAAAATGACACTTTTTTCTCTTTAAAAAATAACGTTTTGCCAGCTCAGAGCTTTTTGACCCAGAAAATATCGATTTTTAGCCGAGAAAAAAAAAAAAGGCTAATTTGGAATCCGGGTAAACCTGACATGAGAAATGCATCAACTTTTTCTTCCAACGCATTTTTGAGGATAATTTGAAGTAATATCCTTTTTGATCTTGTAGCGGAAATATCAGAACCGACTCTCTCCGATGTCGCTCGGAGGCTTGGTCACGATTGGAAGCGACTTGCAACACATCTTGGCTTGACATACACAGACATATTGACCTTCGTGGCCGACAACCCAGGCAATGTCTACGATCAGAAATTCCAGATGCTCGTAGCATGGCGACGACGGCAACCCACCATTGGAGGTCAGATGGACATGTTGTGTGCAGCATTGACCAAGATCGACAGAAATGACATCGTCATGTCCCTTCAAGGTAAGTCTGGTTTGCGTTCATCAACCATGATTGCTTAAAGCACGAATTAATTAACGTACGTTCTGATTAACGTAGGAACTGATTGAAAATTATAATTCAATTTCCGTAGGACTACGAAATGTACTCGTAACAAGCGTATGAAAATCAAGTTTTTTTCATCAAAATGGCAGTCAAGTGTGTCTGTATTAAACGATTTTTCAAATCCAGTCCATCGAGCAGTTTGTGCAGTTTTGGTTTCATCTTCGTTTATTGCAATCATGTTCACATAGTATGACACCTCAAGTTACTTGTTAAAAGAAATTGAACATCACTGTTTACTTTTTCTAGTTTATTGTTTTAACTGTTCCTTTTGTAGCAGTTTATTTGTGTCCTTTGCATGATATTGACATTTTCCCTCATTATATAGTTGTGTGATTGTCAATATTGTATATTTTACCTTCGTTTTCTCGTTGCGTCCATCAAAATCTGTAACTGTTTACTTGTATGCCTTTATATTTGTCGAACTGATAGAAAAGTAATTAATATACACAAATATTTGAATTCACTACAACAAAAATGTTGTCTGATTTCAATGCACTTTTGTTTTTGACATTGTGAGAAAAAAGAAGAAGGCATTTTTGGATGTTCCAAGACGCATTGACTTGATCTTTGATGAAGAAAAACGTAAATAGATCGTGATAGAAAGTTTGTAAGAGGTATTATCCATGGTTTTCGTTGAACTCGTTTTTTTTTCTCCTATAACGATTGTCTAACTTGTATGATTCATTTTTACGGAAAACTATGATTATTTTTCTATTTTGGCAGTGTGTTTCCTCGAATAAGGCTTTCATTTTGTTTGTTTTTCAAAATCCATGAGATCCTCATACTCCACTCCCCCCCCCCCCGAATTGCTAAAAAGTAGTCCAAAGGTCACAACAAACTGTGATTGTTTCGCAAACCTCTCAAAATAGCATGTATAGTACTGTTCAACTTTTATTATCATCTAAATTCCAGCTTAATAGATTAACGCTGTTTTCAGAAGATTGGCTTCTAAAATGATAAAATTTGCCTGCGCTAAATGTTGCATTTTCTGAAAATTCTGATTCGTTTCAGGTCCTACTGGTGGATTTGCACCCCGTACTGATCAGACAAATATCCAGCAGCTTGTTATGGAGTACAACAAGGATACAACAAGCACCATCCCTGCACATCCCTTGGATCCTTCCAGGACTTTGGATATTGACCAGTTTTCTGAACTAGAGCTCACTCAGAAAGTAGAAGGTAATGAGACGACACAGGAACCCATTGATTTACCGGAGGGGAAACGGAATTTAGATAAACCTAGAACAAAGCCCCTATATTCGTGTGAAGGTATGCTTGACGTTTTAGTAACAAAGCTCAGGGTCCTTCTTTCAGGAAGGGCGGGATTTGGCAAGTCTACTCTTTTATTGAGAGTTGCAAATGCGAGCACTGATCCAAAATCCGTGATGGCAAAGTTCAAACTTGTGTTCCCATTAAAGTTGAGCCAAATGCAAAAGACAAGCTGCGTCCTTGAAGCCATACGCGACCAGATTTTACCTGACATTGAGAAGGCAGTTTTGAAGAAAGTTATTAATGATAACGAAGCGGATACAGCTTTCCTATTGGACGGATTGGATGAGATTCCATCCCATGTTCTCAATTCTCCGGCCCCGGAAGGTGGCTATGGGATCAAGGACATCTTGTATAACAAGGTGTTGAGACGCAGTACTGTCTTAGTATCAACTCGGCCACACATGATTGACTTTGCTACCAAGGAATACCCGCACTACACCCGATTAAAAACTCTTGGTTTCACACTCGACACTGCAAAGAAATACATAACATCCTACTTTGCTACAAAAGGTGACGCCAAAAATGGTGAGTTATTAATTTCACATGTGACATCCAGCTCATTGATGCGCACACTGACCCATATTCCAATCCTTGTACTCTTTATGTGCATAGTTTGGGATAACCTGTCAAAATTGCCTGATCAATTAACGGCACTTTACACACAGTTTGCTGATGTTCTGGTCAGTCGCCGTTGCAATGAAGGCGAGGATCAGGTGGCACTGATGAAATCAATCGTGCGTGGACTGGGACCAGTCGCTCTTACTGGCTTGCTAGACCCCAAGGGGGAAAGGCTGGTGTTCTCCTCAGAGGAATTTGAAGAGAAGGCCCTGGAGGATGGGTGTCGATTTGGTTTCCTTCAACAAGAAAGTTTCACGAGTGGCTTGAAGAAGATGAAGGTAGTATCTTTCGTACACAAGTCTATGCAAGAATACTTCGCAGCATACTACTTTGCCAATTTGCATCACGCAAACGAAGATGAGTTTCATGAGAAGTTGCAGCAGATCAATCCAGGCAATGTCCATGCAATGGAATATCTGCTTCGGTTTGCATGCGGTATATCATCAGGGTCTCTGGCTACTGCGCTCATCCTCGAGCACGTACAAAAACAACGTAGCAAGGCAGAATTCTTTCCCGAGATTAAACTGCAGCAACTGACGCACCTGTGTTTATTGGAGTCTGGTTGTGGCAAACTGGCTGATAAGCTAGACCGACCAACTAAAGCGAAATGTGATAGTCAGGAGGATCTGTTAGCAATGCGCTATTACTTGCAGTGTCTCCGTCAGCCACTAGTAGAACTTAAAGACTTAACTGTCCGCTGCATATCGCATGAAGAATTGGCGCCGTTGAGGGGAATTGATAGCCTACTGCATGATGACACAAAGGTACGCATTGATTTATGGATCATCGGTAGATTGTATGAATGCCTGAAGCTGCTGGGTGAGATACTACCGATTGATAACATCAGGTCAATCAGGAGATTTCGGGTGTATGTCGAGTACACCGTGGGGGACAAACCAGACGAGGAGATGCAGACAGCCGTAGTGGTGGACGAGAGGCTTCGTGATCAAATAGAGCTGACACTGGACATTGGTGAGAAATTTCACGTTGATGAACGTGTGTTAGGATCCCTGTCTCGTGTATGCAAGCAGATCATTAAGGAAGTCAGGCTGCGGCGGAGAACGTATGATGACGTCATTAGACTAGCGAATGCACTGGCTGGTTGTGATAGGTTGAATCGCGTAGATGTGTCCCATACCAACCTTCACGGCCATCTGGCTGGTCTAGCCCCTCTTGTTCCTCCATCCCTGGTGTCATTGACATTACGCTCATGTGGACTGAATGATGATGACGTCCCTGACCTGATCAGCATCCTCCCTGCCGGGCATGGTTTGAGGTGGCTTGATGTTGGTGACAATGCATTCAGTGTGGTTGGAGTGCAGACTCTTACTGCTCATCTCAGGAATATGCCTAAACTAGGCAAGTTTTTGCTTAAATACAAAGGTCACGATGCAGAGCGTGTCAAGCAGCTGGTCAAGCAAAATCTTCCAAATGTCAAATTATTTAATTAAATGATACAAACAAATAAAATTAACTTTTTGATTTTCGTACCAGTTACATCACCAACATTGCCAATTGGGCCTTTGGACTATTTCGCTCGAATCTCCAAATTAGTATTGTTGCCGTCATCATTACATGTCGTCATCATCATTATGTTTCTATGTAAATCACCACGTTGGGAAGTATAAAAAGACACAAATTCCGTTAAGTATACAATGAGATAGGCGCGGATCCCGGGGGTGGAGGTTGAAATCCCCTCCCTGCTCTAACACACAAACAGAAAAATATAACAATTATAGTCAAATAATTACAAATACATGTATGTCTTCCTATCTGCAAAAATCGGACATAAAAAAATGTGAAGGGCATGACCCCCCCCCCCGCAAATATACCTGGATCCGCCCCTGTTGAGTATTACAAGCTAACATTAAGTGAAGTACATCGCGTATTAGACATTTTTTCACCGGATTTGGCGTAATATTTAATGTATTGGTGTTAAGTACGATGGAACACTCACAAAAAATAGAGAGCTAAAAATACCGAAACAAAATTAAAGAGGAATGATAAAATACGTATGTCATCCAAGATTGACTGTAAGCTTAGTAACTTGGTTCATGGTCTGCCTCTGTCCTCTTGTACCTTGTTCATATCCCAGGACTTCGTGAATTCACGCCCCTTGCCTTCCACCTCAGCATGTCTACGAACGTAGCTTGGCATTACAGTGCTTGCTTGCCTCTACACAATCGGTACCCGGTTCACATCTTTGCAAATGTGGAATGATTCATCCTTATAGTGCTACGTACTTCCCTTTCCTTTTATCTTCTCCAGGGTTCGAATCCAACCATGGCTACTTTGTTGATTTCCTTGGATGCTCGTTTTGCTCAATCTTTCTATATCCGCTTGACCCCTTTTTGTTTCTTGTCTGTTTTGGCGAGGTTCATATCCAACTAGGGTTTCTTTGAGGCTTATTGACTCTGAATCGTGGCTGTTTGTATTAGATGTGTTGTCTGGACACTTGAGGTGGTGGCCGAGTACTCCCATTGCACAACCATTCGGTTCGATTCCCGTCAAGGGCAAATGCCACAGCTGCACCACGTGGTTTCTGCCAAGAACTGTTCTTTCTCATCCCTTTCTTGCTTCTTAGACTTGAATTTCCTTCCTTAGACTTGAACATTCCTGAACACATCCAAGGCAACCACATGAAAAATTCATAGAACGAAGATTTCAACATTTTGTGGCTTAATTCCAAAAAATATGTTAAATGCCAGCGTCCAGCTTGACAACTTGTCATCTGCCTTTCTCGGTCAGACCTTCAATTGTGCTGCCGTCATAATAGTGACTCACACGGCCGCGCAGCTCTGTGCAAGTGAAACAAAATAAAATATATTACGTAAATATCCACTACATGTATTGGGAAAAACAGTTTTCAGAGATTAATCTATGCTCCGCCTGAAAGAATAATTAATCACTTGAAACAAGAAGAGTTTTCTTGAGCTCTCAATGTGCCATGTCATGTGACGTGTCATGTGACATGCATGTACAGAACTTAATATGAATGTGTATGTAGTCTGTTAACCTGTTTTATGAAACGTTTTCTAGATTAAATATTATCCTGTTTTATTTGTTGACTGTTCATTCTTACTAATACGATGTCAAAATGTATCAATTCCATTGTCTCGAAAATCAGTTTGACAACTGGCAATGAATTTGACATTCTAAATAATTTCTGGTGCATTAAATCTTACCAACGTACAATATGGTACTATTTTGCAACATTATCGCTTTTTCAGTTTGTTTCTCATTTTACCTCATGTCAGCAGTACATTAATCGTAAATTTACAAACGTCCGGAATCCATGTTAGGCCAAAAAAAAGTACTCGGTCTCTGGTCAGCGCGCACGTTGATTTTAACCATGCGCGTCAACCTTTTTTCCCCTCAAATTAACACGGAAGCTACAACAGCGCCCTCTATTGCCGCACCTCCTCAGATTTTTGTACCAAGGAACACCAAGGAATGGGGAAATTGCACCAAGGCAAATGATAAAGGGCACCAAGGCAAAGTATGAAGGACACCAATGTATAATGAGGACACAAAAAAGCAAAATAGTACCCACCTTGTCTGTAAAATTCAAGCTTAAAAAAAAAAAAAAAAAAAAAACCGTGTCGCTGCTTCAATTCCGTAGCTTCGGTCTGACCAGAGACCGATTATTTGTTTTGGCCTTATCTGTGATTCGTTACGAATCTCAGTTTACTGTGAATTCGTAACGAATCTACAGTAAACTCTAGATTCCTACTATAATACCTCTAATAATCTACACATTTAATAATAGTGTGATATCGCAAAGATAGTTTATGTAAGAAAATTGTACACTATGTATATTTAATGTATATATCAGCTAATGCAAAGTTATAGTCGAAAGTATTTTCATGGATTCCAGAGCAAGGTTTGTTTTTGTAACTGTTTCTTTTGTATTTGAATCAAAAAATGAAACCAAGGTTTCCACAACTTTTGTGTGAGACGCTCCACTAATCTAACTGTCCGTTTTGGTAATCATTCGAATGTCTGTGCGTCCTGGATTCATTTATTGCACGCTTCTTTTTTTAGAGTTTGATGTAAATCATTAATATAAAATGAAGTTTTTTCCAAATTGTCTGCTATTCATTCTGACCTGGATACATGTAGTTAATGATGCAAGGTCATAATCTCTTCCATGTTACTTTTGCAAAGTCTATGCCTACAACTTTTGGTTGAATTTAACAGAAATTCTTTTACCTAAACAATTGGTTATAGAACAACCCAATTTTGGGTCGTTGCAGTTTTCACCCTTTCTTTAGTAAAACTAAACCAGACAATTTTTCATAGTATTTCTAATCACTTGTTGATTTCCAGGATTTGACATCTTGTTTTTGGTTTATGTTTACCTGCAAGAAAAAAACCACAAATGTCTGGCTTCAGTGAAAGTAAAACACTAGCAAATAGGCAATACATATTTACATATCAAAACGGTTAGTTTCTTGTAATGTTTACCCTGAAATTTAACCTATGGACTTCTCTATTTTGGTAACTTTTGTATAAACTTGCAGCTGGATTATTTCGGACATAGTGAACAAAAATAAATGATATCAGAGATATTGTATATCTTGGTTTGTAATATTTTCTTTGTTAAAATAAAAGACTTATAATATCAAGCCAAAGTTTTGATCGTCAAATATTCTGTTTTACACCACAGCTTGTTTTGACGCATTTCCTTTGTATTGTTGTGTGGTGGGCTCTAACCCATGCTGAAATCTCTTTAAACCTGCCTAATACGGCAGTTCCTGCATGATCAGTCGGTGCAAGTTCAGGTCAATTCTTTCTCTAGTAAATCCATTGCCTTCTGTGAAGTTTGACCGTATATCTCCTGCAACCCCCACTGGAGCGATGTCCCCGCCCCTTTGTGTACAGAATACTAAGCGTTAGTAGTTAACCTTGCACTGCTGCCCTACAGTAGGCCTTGAACACAATGCTTGCAATAGGCTACAATAAGAGCGCCCCCATTTCAGCACTGGAACTACATGTATATCGCTCCTTCTTTATAGACATTATACACAGCAGCCATCTTGGAGGGCAATGCATTTGTTTTGCTGGGATATGCATGAGTCAACCTTTCATGCATTCATTGCTACTAGATTACAGAGCAAAAGACGCCCTCTAAGATGGCCGCTACGCGTGAGGTCGATTCAAAATATTTCACGGTCTAGAAACAATCGGGCTTTTAACTACGAGGAGCTGTTTGCAGTTGAACCACCTGCTGAAGTGTCAGGAGAAGATTCGTGGCGAGAATTCCTTGAAGGGCTGACTTCTCATCTCGTCATTCATCTTGCAATTTCTTTTTCCTCCTACAGGGTCATTTTTTTACTGCGTCCGGCCCGCAAATAACTTAGGCGTTAAATTTGTGAAAGTAGGCTGCAAAATGTACTAAATCATTGGGGAAAACCTGTAAAAAAAAAATGAATAAAAAAAGGGCATGACATTCTCGACAAATTTCGAAACATTGTTTAAGGATTGTAAACGATATGGATTATGTACACGCGACCTTGCTCGGACGGAAGCATGCAATTTAGGCCTGTTATCGTCACCGCTGTGTATTTATTCCGTTATTTATCATCTCCCTTCGAGTAACTATTTTCCTTATTTTAAATAGAGCCCTTATTACATAAGTTTAATCTAGTCAGTCCCCCGACCAACCCCGCTTAGGCATCTCTGGTATGCAGTTACGTAATATCTTTGCTCGCGCCACCCCGGCGTGCGGGAGATTCGAATCAGTTGCCTCCACGCTCCCGATCAACTCACTACACATTTCTGTAGCCAACTATTTGTAAGTATTTTTACTTTATTTTATATCACGTTGATTTCTGAACATTTAATTCACCGTAAGCATTCATCCGTATTCTATACTACTAGTGTCTGGCTCGATAATCATGGATACATGGATTTTAGTTTACGCCGAAATGTCTATCATTCCTTAGAGCCAATACCCTTATTTTATTGGCCTTCACCCCGGTATATGGACATACAAAGTACAAATTCTTATTTGGGATACAGTATAGTAATATTATGGTGTTATTTATATCGTTGAACTATGTATAAATGTTGTATGTATATTGATTTATATCATTTGTACAGCACCCCAGAATGCCGCCGTAAACCCCTGTACACCCAACTGTTTCAACCCGTTACCTGACTGTGTGTGCTGACGATTCCTTACCCCGGGAACAATTGTAAGTTGATGTGATACCAGTTGGTTTCTTTATTTAAATAATTCATTAGATTAATTGTATTAAATGAATAGTTGACTCCTGCACTACCGAAGATATTGTCGATAAGGTGCTGCCCATTCGTAATTGGTCTGATGTTCCCTCTAAATCTATCGATATAATTGTTTCATCATGTATATTGGAGCTGATATGATTGTATTATTTAATATGAATGTTTGTATTTGCCTTCTGCTTTAGCTTTAACCTTCATAGCTTAATAACTACATGACCATAATTACAAAATGCTTTCTTTGCTCCAATTTGACATACGAACTTGGTTTGAATATTCCTACTAGCATGGAATATGGACAACATCGGTCATTGCACTTCCAGGTTGGAAATAACGACCCCTCCTCCCTTCTATTAAGGTGACTCAAAAAAAAAATGTTTTGGTCATTGTATTTGAAAACGTTTCTAACGAAATTGAATCTCCTAACACATCAACCGATAACTGCAAGATATTTCAACTTAATACAACTGGTGTATATCGGGTTTTTGCCAAAACGAATGTGTTATTGTTCCCTGAACGTTAACTTGCATTCAGATTGTATTTTCGCTTTTTAAACACTATTTTCGTTTTGCAGTTTCTCATGACATTAAATCCCAATGTAACACATCATGACACATTAATGGACGAATTCTCAATTTCAATACATTTGCTGTATGTTGAGTTATTGCCCAAACAAACGTGTTCTTTCTGTTCAATAGCGAGGCCATGCAATGGTGTCGCCAGTATTTATTTATTTTTTTTTTTTTTTCGGGGGGACAAAGCACATCCCCCCATCCTTTCTCTAGCATATTCTCAATTTATCATTTTTTGAGGATGTGTGGAAGACATTTGCCACCCAACCCCTTTTGACATTTTGTTAAAATAATGTGTATTAAAAATAGCAAGTTTGACTTCACAACTCGTTTTCTGTCTGTTTTTCTTCTCCGAGTGATGCATCCGGAATGATGTTTCGTCAGTACTGTTGTTTGCAACAC